GAGAGAGAGAGAGAGAGAGAGAGAGAGAGAGAGAGAGAGAGAGAGAGAGAAAGAACATATCAAAAGCAGTATTTCTTTACCTGATAGACTTTTGAACGTTGCCCTGTGAATCCATCCCATAAGATGACCGTTCCTTCATAGTCACTGCTGGCCAAAAGGTTTTTGTGGTAACTACTCCAGCTGATACAGCTGAAAAAGAGATATAATACCAAATGATAAAACATTTTATTCTAGAACTATGAACATTCTAAATTAAGTACTGTGATGACTCAGGCAACTTTATGCATCACCTGCACATTTATTTTGTTAATTTCATATCCCTAATTATTATTTAGGTCAAAATTCTGCCTAAATTGGTGTCACTAGACTTCATTATATTTACAGAACAAGCAGTCAAGAAATACATTTCAGATTAGCCCTTGGTAGAAGAGCCATGAAGGCCTTGGAAAAGATATTCAAATGCCATGCTATGTCTATACCTACAAATATCAGAATCATGCAAACCATGGTATTCCCTGTGACACTCTATGGAAGCAAAAGTTGGACTTTGAAGAAGCAGGACAGGAACAGCATTGATGCTTTTGAACTTTGGTGTTGGAGAAGACTCCTGAGAATACCATGGATAGTACCATGGATCATCAAGCAAACTAACCCAGAGTTCTACTCGAGGCACAAATGACCAGGCTCAAATTATCCTACTTTGGACACGTTATGCAAAGACCTAGCTCTCTGGAAAAAGCTCTAATGCTGGGAAAGGCAGAAGGAAAGAGAAGAAGAGAACACCAGCAACAAGCCGGATGACTCAGTTTTAGTGGCAATAAGTGCATCATTGGAAGACCTGAAAGACCAGCTTAGGGATAGATTATCATGGAGAAAATCTAACTATGTGGTCAGTAGGAGTTGAAAATGACTTGATGATACATAAACAATCCTTTCTTAACTATAAATATTTTTGAAATGCATGCCATATTTTTAAGTATATTTCAATCAACTGTTCATTTCTCTATAAATTCCTGTTTGAGATGTCAACAGAAAAAAACATAATGGCCCTTTTTCATTCTGCACTAAAGGATAAGGCTCTCAACTGTGATTAGGGCTTATAGAATGTAGAGTATGGCAACTTAAGCCTTGCATAGTTGAAAGCAGGGAAATGGTGCAAAACCTGTTCATTAGCACCTTCTAAATCTATTTCCCCATTCTATACTACTTCAACATGTCCTACTCCATATGGCATGGTACCAAAAATAATTTATTCTCAGCTGAACCAATGAGTTATTTTAAAGCAAAGTAAGTGTATATACATTGCTATTTCACTCACTCCAGATCATTTCAGGTGGGAATTTAGAATCCTGCATGCTAAATGCTCTTGTAATAAAATGTGCTATTACTTCCCTGAATGTACAGTATGTAACACATATATATTCATCACTGTGTTCTCTTTCAGGATAAGCAACTATATATAGAACAAAAATGAAACAAACAGTAAGCCAAAAAAATTAAAGGCAAGAGATAAGAAAAGTAGATATAGCTAAATGTAGTTTACACTAATACTATTCACTATACTTCTCTGTATCTTTTTATTCTTGAAATCCATGTTTGTGTCCACCACATTATGTATTTCTCAATGACTTGCTTAAGGACAAAAATCTGATCTGCATACCTCCTGCCTAGTGTAAGAAGTGCTGATATACTTCCTAAAGTTGTTGTTATCTCTTGTACCATTTTGATCAAAACTCTGCTGAATATCTTCCAGGCAAAGTTAACAAACTAGTCATTGCATAGTTTGTTCACTGATGCATGCAGTCTTTAACTCTGAACAACAATGGCATTCTTACAATAATCGGGCACAGCAGTCTTCACACACAAAGCCATTCCTTAAGCAAACCACAGCCATATTCCAACATTTCCCCAGTATTTTTATTTATTATATTTTTCTTGGATACTATTTATAATATTCATCTCAATTATACTCTTTGACATACCACTATCCTCCCCATATAAATCTCTAAAATATTCTTTCCAGCATTTCTTCACTTTGGTTTCATCCAAATAATTTAATGACTTTTATTTTTAATTCTAGTCATTCTGCTGGAGGGTCCCTGTTTAGCCCTTTCCACTCATTTCCAAAAATTTCTCTCTTTTTTAACAACTCATTATTTTATAAGCATTTTTCTCATCTAGAGCCTCTTTTACTTCTTGGGTCCATCAAGCATTCTTTTTCATACTTCCCATTAGTGCAACCCCACATATTCTGTGGCACTCTTACACAACACTTTTTCTTGTGTTGTGAGTGGTTTCTACAATCTTTTTCTGCATTTCCACTTTCTACTGGAGAAGTCTGGTATACAGATGAGCACAAAGAACAAGATTCTGGCAGGAAAATACCATACTTGGATAGTTACGGATTCTAGAAATGTTAACATAGGAGGGGAAATATTTTTTTTATTTTTTCAGACAAAACTGAAATTTGTATATTTGCCCCCAGTGCGTGGGCACAAGGAAATAATCTGTGGGATCAGTTTGATACCTACATAAATTTACTATCATGTCAACACCCAGACTCCATCATACTAATAGCTGGTGATTTCAATGCATGGATGGGCCAATCTGATCCTTCTTTACAAACTCATTTTAATTGGCAAATGCCCCCTAAAACTGATGTGGGATATTTATTAGCCAGGCAATCCAAAGATCAAAAATGTTAACATTGCAGGATTTCGTTTGGCTCAATTTGTGGATAGTTTAGATCTAGTTATACTAAATGGCACTGTCAGGGGTGACCTAAAAGGGGAGTTTACATTCTGGCGCCCAAATGGGGCCAGTGTGGTGGACTATATTATGATTTCCTGGAACTTTATATGTCATATAGCTTATTTTTATATTGGAACTCGCCTTGATAGTGACCACTTTCCATTAATTTGTTTCTTTGATTCTAAAACAAACTTCAAATCATTAGAAGTAGCCTACTGCCCCACTTGACATTACAATGAAAGAACACGTACAAAATAAATGGTCTCAAGATTTAGCTAAAATTATGACTGGAATTTTGACCTCAGCCCCTGCTTCAGATGCATACCCAAATTTGTTCATCTGATTCATACGAACAAGTAATATCATTGTATCAATCAATTATTGCTAATCTTCAGCCCCCCCTGACAAGATGTACAACAGCTAAGTATGTTTATGCACAT